GCTAAATTATTTAACTAACCCTAATAATGATAAAACCCTAATTATAATAGAATTCTAATCCTGTCGGTTCAATAAAAGCGTCGAGGTAAAGAACCGAAAAGAAACCCTCGAAGGAGTGTTATAATTCCACTCAACAATAAAAAGTTATAAAAATAATTAAACTATCTAGCTAAACTATTAAAATATCTAATTAACTAAATAATATAAATTATTAATTAATCCTTCTGTATCACTGCCACCCCGATAGAAACACACCTTGTCCTCAAGGTGTAAGTGGGAAATCAAAAGGTGTGCAACGACCCTGTGCATGCCATGTTTGGTGGAGGATCCCATTCAAGCTTCAAAACGGTCGATGCAACGGCGAGCAAAATAAATAGGCTACCTTCGGACCATGCCTTAGAATTCTCACAAAGCATGAAAGAACTCCAAACAATGTGATGAGGGAAGGTGCCTCGAAAGAAACAAAATGCAGCCCCCTACCACCCTCAAGGACAACATGACCCCTAACTCCTTCGAACATGCCAGTGAATGGAAAAGCCCTTGGTGGCGAAACATCATTGGGCAACACAAACGGGTCTGCCGAGCTTATGTCGCCTTGGAATTCCTTAGCACAATCATTAGAAACGATAATAGAAACCTCATCGGGAACACTTGTAGGATCAACAATATCTTTCTCTATAGTCACGACGGATATGAGTTCTTCGATGGGTTCATGCAATTGCTCTTCTCTTGGTTGTTCAATGTCTGACATCCAAGCATTATAACGAATACCTGTAACGCTAAAAAACCACGTTGGAAAATCTGGATCCGGTTGTCGCAGCTTAAAAAAGCTATTGCAAAATAACCCACTTTTATAATCACTTAGGGTCTCTCGAGTTTCTAAAACAGAAAATGCATCATCAACACGCCGCGATAGAGCAATTTGTTCCTGGCGGAGTGTGTGAATCTCAAGAGCAAGTTCCTGAACGGCTAACCAAACATCATGTAGGGGGGCGGTGGCAGATTGTAGTGTTGCAGTAGGAGGATCCTTTTCCATGTAAATCTAAATGGAGCCAAACTAAATACCCCAAAAAAAAAACAAATCTGGACGGAGACTCCTTAATTAGGTTGCCGCTGATTTTGTTGTGTTTCCTCTCTTTTTGCGGCAAGGATTATGAAAGAAAATAATTGGGCAGTACTTTGCTTCCAGTTGGTTAAGAACAACACGGCAACGGATGAAGCAGTGGTATATCTGTTCTTCGCTGTGCCAAACTAGGAGCCAGATTAAACTGCGGCTGTGCAGTGTGCACTACATCGTGTGTCGGCGATCCTGGTGCAGTAACACACTAACACTGATTTTTATTTTTATTTTTTTTGAGTTCAAGAAAATGAGAGCACCAATTGATACGATATCGTATCGAAACAGGGAAGAGAAATTGAGAAATTAGGGGAAGAAGATGAAGAATTTGGGAAAAGAAGTAAGAAAGTCAAGGAGGGGCGGAAGAAGACGAGATTTGAGGGGGAGAGAACTAGGGTTTGAGAAGAGTAATTTCTTAATTCTTGATTGATATCTCAATAACAAGATACATGGGTATTTATAGCTAAATTATTTAA